AAACCTGTAAAGGCTCAGGGAAGAGACGGAAGGATGATTAAAGGTCCAGAAAACCTCTCCTAGAATGAGAGACAGTAGTTTATTTTACCTGTTAGTGACCCTCTGTAGTTAAAAGTTTTCTGTGTCTTTTCACTGGATGGGGTTTGATGTCATTAATGAAAGTAGTATGTGGATGCAAAGTCTTGTTGTAAGGATTGTGTCTCAAGGTGCCTGCAGAGTAGGGCTCAAGAAGGATCAACACAGATAGTCTTAATTCTTGAATCTCCCTTTTTTTCCTGAAATGTGCAGTCTCCGCAGTGTAATTTTTATCCTGCAGTGCCTCATTCTGGCTAATGTAATTCAAGGAGAGGTGCACTGTCCCATTTAGGACTGCCTTAGCCCTTTACAGCTTGAACTGGAAAAGCTGTGCCTCAGGCAGAGTTTGCCTTATTCCGGTTAGTGCAAATTATCACTCCGGAGTTGATGTTAGGGGGAAGAAAGTAGTGTTCATTCCTTCAGGGTGAAAATCAGTATTGTTCTGGCAGTAGGATAAACCTTGAGAAACACGAGAGTTCAGCCATTGACGTCTTCACGGATAAAGCCGGCTCCTGCCCACAGAGTGTTTACCCTGCTCCCGCAAGATAGCGCTCCCATTATGCCCGTGCCTCTCTGATAATATTTACCAAATTAGCAGTGTGATTGCTTAGTGGTGCTAGGGCTGTTGCAGGACATGCCAGCTATTTTCTGGCTGTCAGAGAGCCATTCGAAGAAATTTGTGGTGACTAGTTGTTTTTGTCTCTTGGTGGTGGGAGGAGAGGAAAGTGAGGTAGGAGTTGCCAAGTGGTATGTGCCCCAGCAAGGCATAGCTGTGATAAGGAACCAGAAATGGGCAGTTTTGTCCCAGGGTGCTTTAGCTCCAGGTAAAAGACCGGGAAACCTGGAAGAGGCTCAGAGTCATTGGACTACTCTATTTTTTGTGTGTGTTATATTTCCGCTTTGAGAAGAAAGGCATTTTCTCTGCTCAGCAGCAGATCCTTTTTCTCCCTGGTTGTCGTTGAAGTAGTACCTAAAGACTGTCGTGGCAGTAATCTGTTTTGGCTATGATTTATTGTCTTTAGCTTAGAGACACAGCTGCTTTGAGCCCACACAGCTGATATGGATGATAACAGGTTTTTTTCACCTCTCTCTCCCTCTCCAGATCTTGCTCAGAGCACAGCTGGGCATATGCAGGACTCTGAGGGTGCTGTTGGCACTTAGGAGAGGGAAGGAAACCATGGTTTTCTTGCAAGCTTTCCGTATCTGATCACAACTGGTGCAAGAAGGCCACGGAGGTGCTTTCCTCTCTGTTTTCTGTGGTGTTTCCCGTAGATAAATGGGGGTAGAACTGCCCTGTACGTCTCAGAAACGGGGCGCTGGGATGGTGACACGAGTGCAGCTTTCCCTGCTGCTGTGCAGGCCCTGCTCTTTCACTTAGGCATTTGTCTGCCTGCAGAAACACAGACGCAGTGTGGTTTTGTCATGCTTATACTAGTACTAGGTTTCCTGATGTTTGAGAGCCAGTTCGAAGTAACTGGCCAAAGGTCTGGAAATTGTAGAGAAACACCAGAAGGAGTTTACCTCCACATCAGTGGCTCAGGTAGCCATCTCTTATGGCCTAAATTCAGGGATGTTTCCAAGGATCTGGAGTGCCTGTTTTTTTTTTACTCTTTCTAATTTTACATTCTTTACACCGTAAGAATTTTTACAGTGCAGCTTTATTCCAAATTGAGTACATGTCCCTTTAGACTTCCTTCTGTCTATCTTGATGTCAGAAAGTATTTCAGATTTTCTTATTTTTGGGGAATTTTTTTGGTCCCACAATTCAAAACCATCCAAAGCATTTTTTTACTTAGAATTTGCTAATAGGTAATTTCTTAAATATATCTTTCAGGTAGAGATGGGAGTTGAGAACTTTATACATACAGAATCACCAAAAGAGAGGTTTTAAATTCAAGCACCTGCTGGATTAATAAAAAGAAGACCAAGGGGAAAAGAAAAATCAGGATATTGGGAGGCAATTTATTTGTTTTTCTGGAGAGCTATTTCTCTGTGGGGGTCAGATTCCCCTGTCCTTACAAAGAACAGTGACAAACTCAATGCACTGATTTGTTTCAGCAAGATTATTAGCAGAAGCAAATGATAGTGTGACCCAAGTCAGTATCTGGTCCTTATCTGAGAGCTTTGCGAGAAGCAAAGACCAGAACCTGATCCTTCATGCACTCACACCAGTATCCATAAGGAACATTTCCTGTAAGTTTTGAATTGGGCCAAATTTGTCTCTAACGCTTAGGACCTCGTACTGCACTGAGAGAAGCCTGAAATTAGGAAGAAAGGTAGTTAAAAGCCTTTCCTTCGCTTGCTGAAGTGGCAGTAAATGGGGTTTTTGTGTGAAAGCATTGGGCTCAGCGGAATTTTACAGCTGTAAAAACAAGCCGAAATGGTAAAACATCAGACTGGGAAGAGGGATGAGAAATGGAAAAGGAGGCACTGAAGAGGAGAGCAGCGGAGACCTTCTCTGGGACTTGGTGTTCGGGTGTAGGTATTTGTTGCTGTTGTGTTCCTCAAAGTAGACTAGAGAGATTCCAGCCCTGTTCCTTTCCTTCTCTTCCTGAAGAGGTTTTCTTTTCTCTCTCTCCCTCCCTCCCTCCCTCCTCCTTTTTTATTTTTTTTTATTTTTTTAATTTTAGCAAAAGCAGGGAGTGGAGAATAGGGAAGTGGTTGGCAATATTGATTGTAACATTTTGTATGGTATCACATGTTCCAGACCTATACAGGGTACATATAATAAATCACACACTACATGCTTAAACAATTTACTGCTGGCTTTTCTGTGTGCTGTGACAGGTGCTCAAAAGGTCAAAAAAGCTTCCTTAACAAATTTGATAAGATAATGCAGTGAGCTGTAACAGCATAAAGTCCTGGGGGCCATAGACCAGAATAGAAGAAATAATTATGCATGGTAATGGGTAATTACAGATAATGGCCTTTTTGGGGGGTGGCAGAAAATACACAGCCCCACAGCCTTGCCTGGAATGAACATTGTCTAGCACATTAACTTTATAGCAAGCTAAAAGTTCAACACTGGAACAAAAGATAATCCGTAACTTCTACTGAGAAGAGAGTAGAAATTTCTCCTCTCTAAGGCAGAACTAGCATGAGGGTTTGTTCCTTGGGAGGCAAAGTGTCTCAGCGGAAAGTAAGTAATGGTGCCAGCTTCCTTTGACATCTGAAATAGCTCTGTCATGATTGTCTGGTGGGAGAAACATATTGTTCCAGCATTTCTGATTATTATGTTAGGGAGTGATTTCACACCGGCCTCATTCAAGGCTGCTGTCCGACCTCAAAGCCAGCCATGAATTGAACTAATGCGTTGCAAGACTTAACATTGCCAAACCAGTTAATAAGAGCATAAGGATGCATTATAGTGAGCAAGGGGAAATTGTTAGGTGCAGATCCAAGACTCTCTTGAGGTCTGTAGGCAAGTGTTTCCTGACTGAATAATTAATTTTTGGAGTTTTAATGGCCAAGCTGTCTACTGTAGCAGAGGCTGGCTTGCAGAAAGGCATAAACCCTGCTGTGATGAAAACAATCACTCTTAATTAAAAACTACAGGAAATGTAAACTAGTAAAAGCTTGAACTCTACTCACTGGAAAACAGCTATACCTTCCTGTTACTTGGGTAAATCTGTTACTTGAATAAACACGTTTCTTTTGCATTTTCAGTGCCATATCTTTGCGTGTATAGGGTCTTTACAGGTGAATAAATAAAAACCTCTTACGAACAATGACCATACGTGTATAAAAAAACTCATGTCAATAAATGCAGACAGCAAAATTCTCTAATTGTCGCACTGCCTATACAGCATCCATTTTCTGACATATATATAACCTGAAGTAGACTAATTAGCTATTAGAGCCATATTAGTAAATTTAACCATGCCACAGCATGCTTCCAGGCATTGCAACTTGACTCTATGTGCTATCTTGATTTTTAAAATGGTTCCTGGCATGGCTCTCTCCCAAGCTGACGAATGCTCCCCTCAGATTCCTGAGTGTGGTCCAGTTACCATTCCCAATAGGCAGTTTGATGCGGCCACTCTGTTTTAGAGGGTAAAAAAGTTTAATGCTGTGGACTTTGTACCGTTTATCTCACTATCAGCAACTTCCTCAGGCATGTTTAATTTACTAGTATCAGTGAATAATAAGATTTATAGCTGGCCCTTAACAGTTCCAGTAGCAACAGAAAATTAAGTTGAGTGTTACTGGCAGAACTTCAATGTTTGCATTTCTTGGTTTGTACGCTTAAAAATGCATTTGCATCTGCAAGATAGGGGTGATAGAAGTTCCTATAAATTCCCTGTCATCTCTTCTCTCTCCCTCCAAAAAGTAAGAAGGGAAAGAATGATCTATACACAGGCTGCTGTGTTGATTTTGCCATGCATATCCGCAATTTGTGTAAATTGCCATAGCTTTATTGAAGTAAATGGTCTGAGACTGGTTTGCATTAACTGAGGACTGGACCACTGTTTTTCACCATGCTCTGCTAAGTGAAGGCAGGAGCCTCTCGTAGGTTACTGAATATGTAAGAAAGACCCTTACATGTAACTGACCCTGAGAACTCACCTTCCTTAAAAGAAAATCCTAGCCATTCTGAAATGAATTACTGGGTAACTACTATTAATATGCCATAGAGCAGGAGAGTCGTGTACAACACTGCAAGATCAATAACAGTATTTATCATGCATCATATTGATCTTTTATGAAAGAGTGGGTCATATTTCACACTGTGTACATAGTGGAAAAAAGTAGCATCAATTCTCTACAGGAATTAGTAAAGATATAGAAAAGAGCTTAGAAATGCAACTGAACACAAGTGCGTGAAGTGATACTGTTGTTATTGCAAGAGCGTTGCTCACACAAGGAAGGCCTCAGGCTGCTTTACACTGTAGACGTGGTGACCCAAAAACTAACAAGGATTTTAGCAACCCCTTCAGTTTCTGTTCCTTCTCATATGGGTTCAAGCCCATATGTTTGGTCGTGTTCTAGTTACAACTTGCAAAATGTTAAAATCTTGATAATGCAAGTGGAAGCTTAGGGTTAGTGGCACATTTATTTTCCTTCATAAATTTGGGCCAGGATTGTGCGTGCTGCTGCACACAGCAAGGGAAGGACCCAGGAGCCCTTCCCAGTTCTTGGAGGGTGAAGACAGTCAAGGCCCCAGTCCAGCACCTGCAGCAACCCTGTTGTTTTAAAAGGGCAGGTGGAGGGGTAGAATTGGGAGTCTGACAGCACAGCAGCAATTGCCTTGTTGAAAGCTTAATTCATGTTAAAAAATTGCTCCCACTAGAGTAATGAACCTTGGGGCTGCCCCTCATGTGCAGGTGTTGCCGACTTCTACTGTAATGTGGCAAGCTCTAAAGCAGGGGAGGACCCTGTCTTCGCCAGCAGAGCTGTTCAGCTGCATTGAATTACATTTGCAAAAAAAACCAGCTGAAAGCTGCATTCTTAACCTTGGTATTCTGTCCTTGCTGGCAAAAATACAGCCAGAGACTAGCAGCCTCCCTTTAGTAGAATGCCTTCATTGCTGAAGAGTCACAAGAGAGGCCTGTGGGGAGGGTCACCAAGTAGATAGGAGTCATGTCGAGAATTACAATGCAGGCCAAAGACCAGCCAAAGGAACCCCATGCCACATGGTGGTTTATTTGCAGCCTTTGCTTTAAATAGATCCACGTTATTCGGCAGTCCATGGCTGTGCTTGAAGATCTTGCAACCCAGAGACAGTGTGCTTACCTGGCAACTAGCTAGCAGATTTCAGCTGGAGAGGGCCAGCACAGACAGGGCAAAAACTCCACTGGATGTATGATAAACAAGGCATCTTCTAAAGACAGAGTCCCAGGTGCCTTGTTTTATTCCCAAGACAGGGTATAGCTGGGATTCTCTGACCAGTAGTTCTCCTCCTGTTGGCAGTTAGCACTTCCTTGAAGGTACTCCATGCCTTGAAGGTACTGACTGGTCTGACCTGCTTTTCTTTCTGAGCTTATGTTGCTGAGGAAAAGGTCAAAGACTTGCAGGGCTTTCTTTACTAATACCAAAATTCTTTCCCCTTAATGCATTTATAGTTGTATATGCTCTGTACTTACCGTATATATTTAATGTATGCATTAGTAGTAGGAGATTACAAAGTTCAACCAGGTTAAATATGGTAAAGTGAAAGGCTGGATTCAACCCCTGTTGCTGACCCTGGGCATATCAGAGCCGTTGAAGAACTGCATGAACTCAGCTCTCCAAGCACCTCTGCTCAGAGTCATCCTTCCCACAGACTAATTCAAAACTGTGAGGAGTTTAGAGGAACCCTGGGGGTGCTCTGACCTTGTCTGACCTGGCATCTGCCAAGATTCCGGATGGCATAAAACTATGTCTTGTGTGAGATGTCTCCCTTTACACAGATGAAGCACCGAATCTCATCCAGATGCTGCATAAAAAATGCAGAGACCAGTCACAAACCACGACATCAAAGCAAAGCCCATCTCCTAAATTCCGGGGGCAAGAGTGAGTTGCAGCATGTGGCAGCTTTCCACTGCTCTTTACCAGATGTTGGCAGTCCCTCCATCTTCAGGAGCGTGATGTGGCCAAAGATGTGGGAAGAATTAACTCTTCTGCTGCCTTTCCAGCTCTGAAACAGGAGTCCTCATTCTCTACAGGCGTGGGTGTGTCCCTTCAGTTGAACTTTCCCCATTCCCAGGTCTTCTGCTTTTTCCAGCATGTTACTAGGAGCACTTTCCTGTGTTGTAGCTGTAGCTCAGTGCACGTGTATCAGGGCTGTTACGAGAACTGTGGATTCCATAATTCCATATTTATAAAAGAAAAACACCCCACCCAGGCTGCTGATGTCTGGGGATTTGTGAATGTGGGTGCTCGGGTGGATGAATGAGCAAGTGAACAGCTGTAGGGATTCTCTTGAGTCTTAAGACAGCAGTTCATGGTACTATACAGGTCATTAGAGAGCGGGGGGACAGCAGAAGAAATGTAGAAGGCTATTCTGACGGATTCATAACAGTTCTGAGCACTAAACCACTGCATGCTGTTGTACAGCTAGATAAAGGAAAAACACATTCGGTGGCAAGTGATGGAAGCCCCAACCACAGTTCGGAGGTAGAAAGAGAGAAGAAGAGGCAAAAGGCTTATTTTTTCTCCTACCTAATGCAGCAGAAGACTGTAACCACAGCACTTTTTTTTTAGGAAAGAGCTGTAGCATGGCCAGATAGCTGAACATCACAATGACATTAAGGATGCTTTTGTGATTTGGAGCATGAATGTGGGCAGGTCACTGTTCTAACCTGGCCTATCTTGTCACACATTAGAAAATAAGGTGCATATCTTTCCAAAAATTTCGGCAAAGTCTTCTACCTTCTGTCCTCCTTCCTTCTAGCTGCTGACATCTCAGGGTGGGCTTTCCTCTCCTGTGTGGGTGTAAAGACCCCCATTTCTTTTTTTACCTTTAGTGCTAGTACTCTTAATGGAAAGCATTTTCTCTTCTTATGATGCACTGCAGGTGGGACAATGCTGCAGGTACTTCAGAAGAGGTTGCACATCTGTGCAGAATAGCATAACACTTCCATAGGTTCCACAGCCAAGGCTGCCTTGCATATCTCTGTCTCATGTGAAATCTATATTCCAGCAGGGAAGGTATTTATTGTAAGATTTTGCCTTTGGCTTTTGGCTTTCAATTTACAGCATGAAAAGCAGAGCAGCTGGTCTGCAGCATTATTCAGGAACTAAATTCTGGGAAGGGCAGGCTCAGGCTCGTGTTGTGATTTATCAGAATTGTTGATTTTTCAGTGCCAGTGGTCTAGGTTCTAATTTAAGCAAAGACACAAATGAGATGGACTTGAAGACAGGTCTGCCTAGAAGCAGAATAATAGCAATATTAAAATTTGGTAGGAATGTGCAAAGACTGTTTATGAAGGGTCTTTCATGGCATTACATACTCTGTTTTGTGTGCAAGTTTGCGATATATTCAAAATGAAGATAGCCAAATCGCTAGGTTCATGCTCATTTAGGGCTGAGGGGCAGAAAAATCAGGTTTAGGAGACATAAAATGCTCTATTTTGCTTATAAATGTGTAAAGTTCATTGATGTCAACAGAATGTCAACAAGAGCTGAGCAGTGGCACTGTATAATTTAGTGACCTGGACTGATACCATCTTTGATTGCAAAGAGCTTTCATGAGAATTAAAGAAGTGAAACAGAGTTGGTTTGCAAATGTCAATAATTGTTAAAACTGATGTTTGGATTTAGTGTGCAGCTAATATACATTCTGTAATGTATATTAGTATTAATATACATTAATTGGAAAGTATTACAATGACTATGAGAAGCTGGTAAATGCCACCATATTCATTTTACAGGTAAGTAGCCAAGGTACAGAGATACCAAGAGACAGGAACAAAACCATCCAGGTGACATCTGCCTGACATCTCCCTTAGGGATGGTATTTGATGTGTGCATATTGTCCATACTGTTTCATCTCCATGCTGATAACCCTTGAGAGCGCATTGGTATGCTTTAAGCCACATCGTTTGCCCCTCCACAGTACAGTTAGACAAGGCCATGTTGAAAAAGCAGCAGCTTCTCGTGGAAGGGATCGTTATGCTGCAGAAACCATGAAGGTTGATTCAGAACAAGATTAGCTTGACATGAGCTAGAACCCTGACTGTATGAATTTACAGTCATGCCCTTGTTTAATTTGTAAATATATATTCACCATCTGGTTAGACTTTCTAGGGCTGTAGCAGTGTTTGCTGTATTGTTAGTTTACAGCCCAGTATGCTGTCTTGGCCAGATAAGTGATGCAGTATATCAGAGAGAGCTTGGGCATGAAGCAATATCAGCAAGCACCTTCCGTTGTCATCCTTGGAAATACCACAAGAGACCAGTTGACTTTGGACAAGGGAAAACTACTTGGATGTGGAGGCTGGCAAGGACTGAGGGCCTGTATGCAGAAAGTTAGCATTTGTTTTGCTGAAGCACCTTGGCTGTAATACCCTGCTTTCTGTACTGCACTTTCTTTTGGCTTTGTGGTTGTTTGCCTGTTCTAAAGATGTGTCTAGAAGGTGTCCTCTCTCCTGAAGGATGTTAGGAGTAAAAATGTCATCCTATGGTTAGAGCCTTTCTGCTTCCAAGTGATTAAGAGACTTGACACTCAGTTATAATTAATTTTAAAATAATAGCAGGCTGCATCATCAGACCAGCTAGTGTAAATCATTATCAGACCAGTGTATGCAGGATGAGAACTCAGCATATTGCCTTAACCTTCAGTTGGTTTTTCTTCTCTTATGTAGTCTACAGTGTGTGTATGGAGGTGTTGTTTCTCAGGCTCTGAATGAACACCAATCCACTAGAGTTTCCAGCAAACAGCCAGCTGTATTTCCATTTCAGCTCCCATCTCTTCCTGTGTGTTATCCTCAGTTCAGCCTCCTGGAGGAGAAGTAACTTGCCAAAAGGTCAAAGCAATGCTCTTCGTGGAGCCTCCTGTTTCATAATCGCTTGTGTTTTTCTTTTCCAGAGGGACGGATGCTCATTCAAGACATCCCTTCCATCCCCAGCAGAGGGCACTTGGAGAGCACGTCTGATTTGGTTGTGGACTCCACCTACTACAGCAGTTTTTACCAGCCATCCCTGTATCCTTACTATAACAACCTGTACAACTACTCCCAGTACCAAATGGCAGTGGCCAGTGAACCTTCCTCAAGTGAGATGGGGGGTACGCTTGTAGGGTCCCCTGTGAAAAACAGCCTTCGAAGTCTCCCAGCAACATACATGTCAAGCCAGTCAGGAAAACAATGGCAGGTATGATGTTACACAGGTGTTAAGTGTGAGAGTGAGGTGTACAGTAATCTATTTTTTTAGGGCTGATTCCAATTTCATGTATGCTGAAAGCATTACAGAACCACATTCCAGGTGTGGAATTAGACCACATTAGGAAAGTTAGGTGAGAGCCAAAATAGGTGGCTGTCATATGATGCAGTACAGTGAAAGCAATGGTGTAGATGTAGCTAGGCTGTCACAAATCGTAATGAAGGGCATCCACTTGATTTTGTCTTTTGATTTACATCATGGTAGATTATAGGCCTACCTAGAATACCTATAGGTATACCTATAGGTATACATATAGGCCTACCTAGAATACCTACAGGTATTCTAGACAAAAGTATATTGGAATTAGCCAGCATAGCATCCTGGGAGCTTCAGGTGTCACTTCTGAGAGGCTTTGCTCTTTAGGAACTTTTTATTTTCTCTTCCATTTTTCACATCCAAAGCAGTGTCAAGGCTGAAGTGACCCACCTTGTCAGGCCCATGAGATCATGGTACTCTGCAATTTGTTGGTAGCAGTCATTTGAATGTGACACAGTGTCACCAGTGGTATATTCTGACAGCATCAGGGCTTGGGATTTCAACTTGGATAGCTCAAGTTACAGGCTGTGCATGTTAGGTTAGCACTAGAGCTTATTTTTTTTACAGTTCTGTGTACTTGGTTAGTTACAGTATAAATCCAACCCAGCTCTTACTCTAGGACTTGATAATCATAGCCTGCTGGTTTTTACTAAGAGGAACTAGTGAAAAGAGTAAATCTACCAAGGTAAGAGATTTCGTGACAAAACAAGTTGAGTCATTCCAGTGACCCTGGGTGCCCTGTTTGGCCTTGGGCTGCAGTTGCACCTTCCTGTCTGAAATTGGACTTGATGGAGTTGTACCCTCTGGGGCTGTGTATGTCCATCTTCCTGTTTGAAGACATGAGAAGGAAGATCTCTTCTGCGGAACATCAACAGAAGTCAGGTTCCCTTCTACAAAAGCTACATTGTGAAGGTGCTCAACAAAGATTAAATATCCACCAAACCTTGCTTTCTAAAGTGGGTAGAGGGATATTCATCTTTGCTAGTGGAGAATTGCTCTAGTTTTGTCTGGCGCAGGGAGCAACTTTGAAAGGGTATTTTAACTTCTGATACTGAGGAGCATGAACTAAGTGCAGTGCAATTGCAATTCCTCTCTCAGTCCATATCACTTGAGTGAGGCTTTCCTAGCATTAGACACTTCTTTTCATGGAAAGACCCTTCTGAAAATGCAGATTAGGGCAAGAGCTGACATGGCCACTGATTTTAAGATCAGGCCTGTGCTTACTGCTCTTCCCAGCACTAAGTCTGTTTTCCAGCATGAGTACAGTTGTATGGGGAAAAGAGCTGCCTCCCTCTCTTCTGCTGCCTGAGCCCAAAACCACAAGTGCTCTCTTCTCTCAGTGCATTGAAAGGTTTCACGGTTCTCACCTTCACATATGTGCAGATACGCCTTTTCGGTCACATGCATTGGTAGCAGCCTCTGTAGCTGCTGAATTTGGTTGTCACATCAAGGGGAAAATTAGTTGAGTCAAGATGAGAACAGGATTTTGTTTGTGGTAGTAAGGTGAAGTGCTAGTGCTTTCTTAGGTTTATTTTTAGTTGATTGGGTTAACCTGGCACATCACAGCAGAACGTTTCAGATGGAATGTAGTTTTTGCAGGACCTAGTGTGGCAGAGCCTATTGGAGAGCTGATGCTTGGAGACACTATCACAATACAAATGAAGGGCTGCAACATTTACAACCTAGAGGTGATGTTCTTACAGGCTGTTACTCCCACTTCACAATTTTTCCAACTGGTAGAGACTTCTGCAGTTTTGCTTTCTTGAGAAAAAGAAAAGTAAAATTGCTGAATTGACATCCTAGACAGTAAATAGTGTTCTGAGGAGGAGATGCATGAGGTTACACTAAAACATGTTAAACTTAGGAGTGAACAGAGTATTTGCTCAGTTGTTGTCGTATACCATAAACTTGAACCTAGAATATTTATGTAAGGAGTACTGGGCTGGAGCGTGTTTTGGAGAGGTTGTCTGTTATTTATGGAACTTTTGACACATTAACTTACAATCTGACTTAACAGTGTTCCAGATGAGTTTTATATGGGGCTATACTTTCTAATAAGGACACGTATTAAAGAAATACAGTCATATCTTCCACTCCTTTTTCTCTTGAGGTCCTGCAGAATCTGTAACTCTAACTTCTACTTCAGTATCACTGACATTAGTGCGATACCAAAGAGATTGTTAAGAAAAATAAGCTATTATTATCCAGAAAGGATTGTTTTATTTCCACCAGCAAACTGAAAGCACTGGATGGTTTACTCCCTCTATTCATGTCCATGTGAATTTATTGATTTATCTCACCTAAAGATTTGAATTTCCCCATGCTAAACCTTCTGTGATCTCTCAGAGCTGTTCTGGTGAAAAGTCTTTGCAGAGAGACTAGAGGAAATACTTTCTACCTGTGGCAGTGGCAACTTCCTAACTTCTAAATTGCATGAAACCAAAACTCAAGTCTCTTATTCAGTAGTACAGAGTGTAGTTCAACAGGTAGAGTGTTGTCCTGTAACTTACGAGCTTTTTTTCAGAGACTGATCTGCAAGAAGGATTGTTATTGTTGGAAGAGTTATGAGTTATGTGATTTGCATACTGCTATAATGGCATAGCATTGCACAAATAATCATAAAAAGTTTTATAGTGAGAGGTAGACTAGATAATACTATATGGCATTAGGTGCAGTGATGCTTAGATGGTAAAACACGGCATGGTGTTGAATCAGGTTTGTTGTAAGGGGAATGAGCTCTCAGCAGCTGCATAAGGTTGAGCATTTGTTCTGTGCATGGAAGGGTCCCAGCCAAGGGAGACCACAGAAATCCAGTGTCAAATGGAGAAAGATGAATGAGTGTCGCTGTCAAGTACAGTGCGGAGTTACAGGAGAGTTTCAAAGCGTGGTCCACAAGAGAGGAATCTTGACTCCTCTCTTAGTCCCCGCTTACACCTTCTGTGCTGGCAAATTCTTTCGGGGGAAAACATGTTGTTCTATCTACACAGGGATTTTTGCTGGACCACCTGTATAGGTTAGGTTTGTTGCCTTTTATACACGCACGTACTTGCTTAACCAGTCTTCCAATACTAGTGAGCCTTCCCACGTGGTTGGTAGTGCCATAACTGTTTTGAATCAGCTTTTGGCTTTTTTCTTCTTTACCAAGATGATAGCTGTGCAATGCCAGCTGTGACCAGTGCATGGCAGGTTGCTAACCTCTGAGTCTGCAGGACAATGTCTTTGTTGGTATAAGCTAGCTGTTTGTTCACTGAAAGGTAACCTAATTTAAGCAGTAAGCATAGGCAGGACACCTGCCTTTTCCAGGCTGTCTTGGTAGAGGCACGCTTGTCCTGGGATAAGCGTAACTACGCAAGGAGAATTGCATACCTCAGGCAAGACAACTTCTGGGTGCAGACAAGGCCTTGGGCAGCCCAGCTGTCTGCTGTTTCAGAATTTAGGGAGCAAGGGAGAAAAGCTGGGGAGGAAACATGTGAGTGTGTGTGGGATGGGATGAGGATTAATGCATCATTGAGCCTTGGCAAATAAACTGAATCACTGAATCTTTAATGTAGATTAATGTCAGATTTCATTAGTCTTTGTTCTTTGCAGGGGCTCCTGTACTTGAGTGTATTAATGGAGCTGTGAGTTTCTGAGATATTTCTCTGGAGATTTTGTTAGTTTGTTTATAATTATCCCAGAAGTTGTATCTATCATGATGTGATAAGCATAATGAAGGTGGTAGTTTTGTTTGAGGCCCTTTCAGTCACTTACATGCTGTTGCTTTTGCCAGCTGTAAGGCAGATAATCAGATATGTTTGATGATGCAACTTAAGAAAATACAAATCTAGGTCTGAGAGGAAATGTAACAGATGCGATGGTTATTATACATCTCCCTTCATTCTGGTTCTTCCATGAGCAACTGAGCAACTGGACTCTCCCTTGAAGCTCTAGTAATTGTTCATTACAACAGGAATTTATGTGCATTCCATCCAATTAACAGTTAAATAAGTCCAACATTGGTACCACAAGTTAGAGCATGTTAATACGCAGTGAAAGTTGACACTTCCGGAACCAGTCTGTCTCCCTGTTACCCATTGCACAGGGAGTAATTGATAAATGCTGAGGTCACTTCAGTCTTTTTTACTACCCCCCCAACCCCCCCCAAAAAAGAACCAGGATGGCAAAGTTCCAAATCTGATCAGTTTTAAGTTCTCTAAGGTGGCAATTAAAACTGCTAGCATGTGACCCACAGCCTAAAGGGCAATAGTGACTCCTCGTGCATTGACATCCTCCCCAACAAGTGTTAAAAACTCTTCTGGTTCCTACAGCCAAGCTGGTAACACATCTGGAATGGTGTGAAACGTACACCCACATCAGGGGACAAGCGGCTGAGTTTTCTTTGTTACTGTGGTAACTCCAGGGAGCCTGCTTTGGGTAAAGGTTAAGGTTAGCATGGAAGTTTTGGGCAGATTTCAGAATTTCGTCTAATTCTGTTTCACACTGAGGTTCCTTTTTTTTTCTTTCCTTTTTTTCCTTTTTTCTTTAATGCAGCTTGTCAAATCAGCATTTTCACTTCCAGAGGTCTCTATTTTTTATTCCTCCTTTAAAACATTTTAGAGTAAAAACCTGAAATAAGCATTGGTGAGAGAGACTGAGACATTTTGACTCATTTTCTAATATGGGAGTTATTGTTATTTCAGAAGTGAAATAATCAGTGTCACTGCATTAGAAGGCTGATTTTTAAGGATTTCTAAGAGGCAACAAACTTTTAAAGCTCTCTTTTACTGAAGTCCAGCAAAGTATTTTTGTGATAGGGCAACTGGCAGTTTTAACTCTTAGGAGTAGCTGTTTGCTAGTAAAATAGGTTACTCTTTTCAAGTTCCACAATCTGTTTCAGGTCTCCCGCACAGTTTTCCTTCAATAAGCCTGGCCCCCCCTTACAAAAATATGTGGTTTGAATCTGCAGAAATTGATATTAAATGTGCAAATGCATACATATATGTGTGTGTATGTGTGCAAATATATGCACATCGTGCAAGTCCCCTGACCCAATCCCAATTTTCTGTGTAAGCAGTGCATTATATACTGTATTCATAACATACCCTTCACACTACAGATTTATGCTAAAAGTATCCTAATGTTTCTGACAGCTCATGTGTGACATGAATGTAATCCATATTTCTTAGAGAAGCTAATCTAAGCGGTTTATTTTCCGATACTGCTGATAGGGCTATATCTCTTGATGTCACAGCGGTTGAGATTCTGATGGTAACATATTGTTTATGGGTCACTGCCTTTGTCTAAAAGAATAGGTTGGAACAGAATAGCAAAGGTTAATTAAGTTTGTCTATCAAGGAGGGACAGATATAAATGCCTCTTGTATTTTTTATGCTAGAATCAAAGTAAGTCAAGGCAGGGTGTCATAGTCTCTTTTTCCTCATGCTGTAAAATCTGCTTAGTTGGTTCTAGGAGTGAAACAAAACCACCCTGAGCAGTACAAGTGCGACAGTAGTTGTGAGGGGTCAGCTCACTGGCAGTAGCGTTACAAGATAAGAGAGTTGTAGCAACCCTGGTTTACAGCTTGGGAAGCTAAGGCAACCAAAATTTGTTAAATAACTTGCCCAAGGTCATGTAGCCAGCAAGTGATGGAGCAGAAATCTCTGGATTTTCACACCAGTGCCCAGCAGCCTTTTTCTCCTGTCACACCAAAAATTGACCCGTTAATTCTGTTAACAATTTTGCACCCCACAAGACTTTCAAGGCAGAAAGAGGAGGTTATGTTAAAACTCTAGCAGAGTTTCTGTGGTGTTTCAGTAATTACTGCAGAGGAGCAGAACCGTTTTCTAGTCTCCAGGACTGGAAGGAGAAGTGAGCAAGCAGCTGTGCCTGTCCCATCTCTTTGTTGTCTCTGGTCTGCCCGCTGTCTCCTCAGCTCTTCCCCCAACAGAGACATGCAGAGGTTGTGCAGATGCTGCCAGCTGCTTGGATGGAAGAGCTGGGCTTTTTACCTTGCTCTTCTCCCAGCTCTTGAGAAAACCTTGATGCAAGAGTGGTTTCTTTATGCTTTCTGGCTTTCTAAATATATTTTGTCAGTGTTGGACACTGTTGTAGAGCTGCTGGCTGTTACATTCAGTGACTGGCAAATTTAGTTTCCAGCCTGCGTGTGTGCCAGAAAAGCTGTAGCTGCCTGTTGGTTGCCCATACTGGCTTTACAAATGAACAGGGAAAGAATTCCCCATGCACGCGTGATTTTTTTATCAGACTATATTTAATTTGTTCATGGGTTATGAGCTGCTACTTGCAGTATGTTCTTTAAAAAGTTACTGAGTGCTCACCGTATTGTGCAATTTAGGGGAACATATCTGTGCTGAACAGGCTGAATCTGCTTCTCAGATGGTCTCTGTCCCCCCATGAAGTCAGTGAGGTACTTGGTAAATCAATCAGTGGCTTGAAGGCCTTTGGACTAGGGTCACCTTCAGCCTGCGGGTGGGACAGGGCATGAGTGACATGTGGCTGGAAGAGGATGCACTAGAGTAAAGGAGAAACTCAAGCGTGCTCTGCAGAGAGCAAGTATAAGGACTGTCTCCCTTTTGCACTGCAGAAAAAAGATTTGTTACAACCCTGGAGATAAAGAGAAGACTGCTAAACTACATGGCCTCGATTAAAGTGCTTTAGTAGTGTCTCGGGGCAAGGCTCTGCTGAGCCAAGCACTGCATGCAGCCACAGTAAGACGTAGCCCTCCCACCGAAAGGCTTGCAACAGGTGTGTGAAAGGAGAGGAAGCAGCGGGAGAGCAAGGCAGGGGTGAACCTGAAGTGCTGTCTGCAGAAAGAAAAGCGTCTGCTTTCTGGGCAGAGTACACAGCGTTTTTGGGGGGGTCCTTCCCTTCCACAGCATTTCCTGACTTAAAACATGCCTTGTTTTTATGGCACATACTCTGCAGGGATACAAACCAGAGCGGCTTGTGGGACTGCTCCATTGTCTGTTTGGGGCTTACTGTGAGGCTGGAAGGAGACACAGGCATCTCCTACCATGATCTGTGCAGGACCTGGAGCTTACACCCTGAAGCTCCTCCAGGATGCGGCCCCTACAGGGATCCCAGACTTAGTACCTGGCTCCAGGGTTTGGAAGGCTGGACTGCCCTGAATCAGAAATAATATGAATATCCCAGGGCTTCCCATGATTTGTTTTGACTCCCTTCCTGGCTGAAGCACCCAAAAATGTGCAAAGACTCTCCAGAGGTGGAGGAGTTAATATGGAGCAAAAGGCCCCTTCTCATTGGGTAAAGATCTCCTAAGCCCCCTTTTTAATGCAGCGCTAAGGTCAAGAATTTTTACGACTGGTTGTTTTTTATTGTTACTGTAAAATAGGATTGCTAAGCACTATAAAAAGGAAACCTTATGGTTCAGATTTACTGTGGTGTATATTCTAAACACTTTAATAAAACAAAACCAAAAGCTTTTAGATTTTCTTCAGTGGTTAATACACAGCATATTCTTTGCAGAGCCAAGCCTCCAGCTGTCGGTCGAACTGTGGTTCATAGACTTGGTGTGGGTAATAAGATTATAAAACATGTCTCTTGCTAGCCAGCTACCACACACTAATAATAATAGTAGTAATAATTCATTGAATCCAGGGATTTTAGGTGAGTTGTTTTCTTAAGAAATGGGGAAAAAAAAAATAAAAAGGCTTGAAAGGAAACAAGTCCCTGCATACATTCTGCAGAGGAAGGAAACAAGAACATCATCATTTCAGTGCCAGGGAGCATTCCTTCCATTTTGTTACAGCTAAAATAATACTGTCTCCAGCAGGTGATATTTCTTTAGTGGTATGTATGCACATATGCACATGGGAGAAGGGGAGATGTGAGAAAGGCGGACACTGCTGACAGTCCTGCCCCGCAAAGGACACATAGGCAGTGTAATTCAGAAAGGCAGCCAGAGAGGAGTTTGATAACTTCTCTTTCAGTACTTCCAGAACTGTCCAGCTTTGTGGGTGTACAGATTCAAAATGACCTTTGAACTGAGCTTTTTGGCAGTTTATATTGCCAGCTTGTAGTTTTAGGGCGGAAGGAGCTTGTGTATTGTTGACGAAGTGTTTGCAAAAGCATACCCCTCTCTGTCCAAAAGGAGACGGCCTTTTTCCAGAGCAGCAGAGGTCCAGGCAGTGGCTCTGTACAGAGCCTAACTGTTCTGACTTCAGATTTTCTCAGGATGTCACATAAAAAGACTTGAGGCATGTAATTTGTGTAAAATTTGGTTTGCTGTCTACCGTGGATGAAACATTGCTTGGTTTAAGGTTAATTTTGTTTGTGCATGCATAGGATGCAGGCAGTAAAAAAAAAAAACACCATATAAGTATTCTTTTACTTTATAATAGAAAAATTCTTACTTTCATAGGCTGTAGCAAAAGAGACAGAGATGTACCTTGTTTTTTGAAATCCCTGTAAATAGCAATTGATCTCTCTTGGAACTTAATCTCACCCCAAACTTAACTACAAACAGAAAGTAGGAGGTTGCCCTGTGTCTTAGCTAATGCCAGAAAGGTTTCCTGTGAGCCACACCACGTTATTTTTGGTTTGGCAGTCTAAGTATTAAAAGCAATATTGAGCACTAAATTAATAAGGGAAACACTAGAAAATAGTTAGTTACTATACATAATTACCAGCTAAAGCATTCTGGTAGCTCTGTCTGTTGGAGGCCCAAGGCCAGATTCTGGGAATCTGCTGAAATAAAGCAGCCACCTTGGACAGCAGATTCACTGCCTCTGCATCCACTGCTCTTTAGATATGTTATTTCTCAGGCTGAGAAGTACTGTGGAGCACTGAGCTGGGTATGAAGCTCAGTTGGGTGGGACCTAAGCTACAGTGGTAAAGCAGGCAGAACTCTTATTTAGTTGAAATGAGACATGGGCTGAAAAGGCCTTCCAGCACTGTGTTTTGCAAAGAGAACTTCTAATGTCATAGCTTTGCATGCACTACTAACCGCACTTTTAGCTCTATATGTGATATAAAACTGTAAAACTTTTTTCTTTGCCCAGAATGTTTCTGTCTTATAATAATTCCCTGCCTTAGGGAGACTAGACAATGTTACCTTTCCTTTTGAAGGTCGTGATCTTCTAAAGTGTTGGGCGACTTTCTTTCAGAGCCTTGTGTCCATGTCACATTGTAGAGCTTTGGAAAAAAGGATGATAATTCTGTTACAAAAACAAAATAAAAAAGACATTAATGCCTCTCCAAGGAGATCCTTTTAGGGTGTTGGGATAGGATAAACTTCCACTTCTGATTCCACATTGGTACCAGGTGTAGCCAACATTGCTCCTAACTTAGTGGGCTGTGGGAGAGAGAAGAGGTTGTCTTATTAGTTGTCAGACATGGGGCTGACAGAGCTGACTTGGTGAATTGCTTCCAGTTGTGGTGCCACTACAAACTTCCTGTGTAATCTATCCACAACTTAGTTTATCTGTATAAAATAGGGAAATTATTACATTTCACTGGATTTTAAGGAAGTGGTATATTTGTGTGTGTGTGTTGTGCTCTGCTTCAGTCTAGTATGTCCTGAATAGGTTAGTAGATGGACCTGCTGTCTTAAACCACCTTAGTGGGTTCCTTGTGAAGTAGTTGCCACTCGTCTCGGACTTGTTAGTTTCTTTGGGGCTTTACGGATTGGATGGACACTTCACGTCCTCTGAAGATAGTAAGCTGGATGTAGGCAGGGGTCAAATCAAAGCAAAGTAAAATCTAAGGCAGATACCTCTGGATTTAACTTCTCTTCCAACCACCTTCTCTTCCATCTGCCATGATCTCCTTCAAAGATTTGTACTTGTGGGACAAGAGGGTGCAAAAGCAGTGCTGGGGCTCAGCTTTCATATGCTGCTGTTCTGATTCTCTCTCTCTGATAGATGAAGAGCATGGAGAACCACCACGCCATGAGCTCCCAGTACCGGATGCATTCCTACTACCCACCCACTTCTTACCTGGGCCAGAGTGTTGGCACACCTGCATGTGTCCCACAGATTTTGACCTCTGAGGACATCCCCTCATACTCAGAACTGAAAGCGAGAGGTAAGTGCACAGTAACCCCCTGGGTTTCTGCTACCTTTTTGACTTTGGACAGGCATCAAAAAGGTGTGGTTTGCTGTTGGGAGGAAAGTCACTAATGCAGAAAGTAGGTGTCAAAGAGTTTACAGAAGGTGGTTGGATTTCTGAAAGGTGTGCAGTACAGTAATATTGTAGTGCTGTATTGTAGGTTTGTGGTACAGTAATACAAGTTTATATTTTAGAAGCGTGGTGGTTTAGGAAGGTAGTTAGTTGGTACCTTTCTGCTCCTGTGCGTGTTTTCTGTAAACTGTTGGAGGAGTCATTTGAGGTATCTTTCTGTGCTCATCAAAAGACTTTCTCCAGAGAACGTGTGCTCCAGTGAAAGACTCATCTTTCCTCTCTTTTCTTCTCAGAACTGCTGTTCATAATTTTTTCCCCTCAGGATCCACAAGCCTCCCACTGAGCCTTTGCTGCGCTGTTCTTCCTGAAGCACATATGGAAACTATTTCTGTATCCCAACCATGTAGTGAAGCCCTTCACAGACTTGCTTCCTTCTTTGTTGTCACTCATATTGCTTCATTTAGAAGTACTCTAGATAAATTCATCTTCTGACATCCAGTCTTCTTGACTCTACTAAGATTACTGTTAATCTGCAGTAATTTTTAGGAAAGCGTCAATGGATTTACCTGTGTTGACACTGTGGTTTTGACAGTTTTTTAATCTCACTTCCTGGTTCTCTTGCACGCGTACTGGGCAGAGTACCTTTATGTTAAAATGGCCTTGCTGGAGCAGATCGAAGTCCATTTAGCTGCTTAGTCCATTTAGTCTCTGCCCCGGGAAGGGGCCAGTGGTGGATGCTTGGAGAAAGAAGAAAAGAAACAGAGAAAGAGTAGAGTGATCCTACTTCATGCTTCCAAAATTTCTACAATCCTACAGCATTCAGTAGGTGTCCTGAGTTGATGATTACTTCTCAACTATCATTTTCGCTTGCTAGTAGCTGACCTGAACGCCATAAATTGATATGTAGTCCTTCCATAAGTCCCTTTATGCTTCTGGTCTCTTTGTAGCAATGAATTTGGCATTTTAATTCTGTACAGTGCAGTACAGTGTGTGGGAAGTATTTCCTTTTGTTTATTTTACACCTGACAGATTTTTTGTGCTGGTTCTTTTTTGTGCAGTGACACCATTGACAACAATATCCTGCCTCATTTGCTTCTCTGATGCACTTATATGTTGAAATGAATCTTCCATGGTGACATGCACATGCTGAGCCTTTTTTATACCTGATTAAAGGAAGTGTATTATGTAGGTTCCATAATTATTTTCAGCCAGGTCCTTTTTGCTGCTGATGTTCCAGTGTCTTTTACATTTGTTCTGTGTTGAAAATATGATTGCTTGTGCTTGTGTCATGGCAGAACCTTATGGACTTAAATGAAATTTTGGAAGGTGCGATACATATAAGATCTACAGCTGGTATAAATCAGTGTTGAGCCCTTGAATTCAATAACTCTAGAATGATTTATACTAAAGAGGTGGACTATTGTTTTGGAAGTGTCTGTTTTCTGAAAGTCTTCCAACTAACATATGGCATATCAGATAGATGAAGAAAGAACACAAGGTGTGAGAAAACCTTAGACTTTTTCTCCTGTTCCAGTAGTTTTAAATGGCTTAGAGAAATCAGTGATCCTTGGTTCATTTTCCTTCTCTTTTCCTCAATTTTATTTTCTTCTCTCTTCTCTGACCACCACTGAACGATGACGTCTTACTTTCTGCTGATTGGTCAAAGAAGCGGTTGGCTTTATGCTCAACTGCAGTTGACACTTTTTCTTGCATCCATCACTACTAACTCACTAAGAAGTCTTACCAGTCGAGTGTTCTTACAAATAGACAAAAGACCTTATACCCTTTGTTCCCAAATGCACTTCAGTAATTTTTCATCGCTCTAGAAAAAAGTTGTGTGTAATGTGCCACTGATTTTTAAACTGCATAAATACTGTATTTTCAATAATCCTTGACTGCTTCTCCAGACAGTATTCCACACACAGATATTGTTCCCTAAGTTACACCATCAATCAGAAACCGACAAGCAGTGAGATGTAATTTACTGAGATCAAACAGCATTTTCCAGACTCTGAAGAAGTGCTTTTCCATAGCAGGGAGCTAGTGGGTGAAAGAGGCACCAATATTTTTGTGAGAAACTTGAACGTGTGAGCAAGATCCTGCCTGTTTCATGTATTTCTTAGAAGCATCTTCTTTCTCTTTTTGCCTGCTCTTGGCGTATATGACTGCTTTTACTTCTCCATCTAGAAACAAAATAATATTCTCAAGCTGGTAGTATGTGATTTATACTCCCATGACATTTTTTCTTCTAATGCTTGTCATAATCTTCAGAGGATTTGGCGTTTTTGCCTCTTTATTATCATTTGTGTTGAGGCCGAGTCAGCCAGCAGGCTGTGAACGGTGGACCCTGTGTAATACGCCACAGTGGTCCATTTCCCCAAAGTATTGACTGCAAGTGTTGTCTTGTACAAAAGACATACTCTTACACATTTCGCCATCGATTTTTGGGCTAAACTTTCTGTACAAAGCATGACCGCTTTGTATGAAGCAACAACTCTGGCATGTTCCCACAGGGTTAGTGATTGCTACTTTAAAGACAGTGCCAGTACACTTTTAAATTAGCAAGTTATCCTCCAGTCATTCTTCCTTTTCTGTGGTTGAAGTGGCACCATGCTCAGAGATGTGTTTTCTTTCTAAGAATACATACTCATAGATTTTAGGTTCAAAAGGGAACATGAGGATCATCTAGTCTCGCCTGTTGTTTAGTGCAGGCTATCCAACTTCACCTGCAGAATTCCTGAAGCAAGCGCTTAACTATTTTTTAAGATCTGTTTGTAGGCTCATGTATCAATATTCCAGAAATTTTACAGGAAAGCAACAGGTCAAACTAAAAAACTTCATTTTGCAACCACATTTTCAAAACATTTGAAACCTGTATCTTTAATGCAGAAATGGTTATTAAATTCCCAGCCACAAATCAGAGATGGTCTTACAACACATGCAGTCCCTTGCCCACACTTCAGTTGTAACTTCAGCTTTATAGAGGTTTTGCCAGTTCATATATTATCTCGGTTAGTATTTCAGTCAGACTATTTCATTAATTTTGTTCTGCTAAGTTAACTGCCTGTTTAGACCAGTTATGCTGAAAGGGAGGAGAGAGGAGCTAGCGGACCACTGATTTACACTTTCTTTGTTTTTATGAATGGTGAGAAGTTCTCAGGAAGCTTCTGACATTTGTTCATGAGATCATACCATGTTGCAGCGTGTTGCATATAGTAATAGGCTGACATTTTCTGAATGACAAAACACCATCACTCAACCTCCTTGCAATTTGAAGTGGTTCTAAATAAAATGATTTTGCTTCCAGCTAGCACAGCTGCTGCCCTTCCAGCTGAAACTGGAAAAATAGGGAGGAAAATAAGATAAACCAGTGACAAATGGCAAAGGACATTTTCAGAGGACTCTCCTAGATCACCAGGTTGTAATTTGTATATAATCATTTTTAGAAAGAAGGGGAATTTTCTGCTCAGTACTTTCAAAATATTTCTCCTCACCTTTTTCCTGCTTTGTTCTTATATTTTTAAACACAAGCAATGAGAGGAAAAGGATGTATGAGAGGTTGTTACCAGTCCCTGTGCGTGCAAAGCACAGTTTAAAACATGTCTGTCTTTCGGAAGCCAAGGTGAGAGATCCTTATGCGAGAAGCGGAGGAATGGGAATGTGTATACAGCAGTCATGAAAGGATATTCAGTCTCAAAAGAGACATATGCCTTAGTCCCCTTGATTTCCATGCTATAGTGGATTTTTTTTTCCAATGGGGCTTTTTAAGGATTTGGTCAGTGCCTAGAATTAATAAATACCTTCCACTGACTTTGAATCAGGTCCCTCTGTGCTTAAATTAAGTATATGCTGAAATACCTCCACAAGACTTCATCAAGACAGTATGAAAGTGCATGCTTAGATCAGAACTGAGTGCTTAGCTCCGTGTCCCACTTCTGCTGGTTAAAAATTGAGCAATTGCTTGGCTGTATGGGGGTGGTTTCCAGATGTGGGATGGTGGTAGAAGAATTTTACATCTAAGTAGAAGGATGCAATGGAGAAACATCCCTTTATTTGCAAACAGATGCACACCCCTTTGATTTAAAATCAGATACCTTGTCTCAAAAATGGCATGGGATAAAAGTTTTGTCCTTATTATGTGAACGGTTGAGGTCGTTACCCTGTATGTCGTTACCCTATATGTCCCTGTCTGTGGCTGAGGAGATGGCTTGGATTTAAAAGTTGCTCTGCTTGCTGAATGGGTTTGAATTTTTCCTCTCCTGTCAGTGTCTCAGAATAGCTGGAAATACAAGCAATGAATCCTCTAGCAGAGGATTGTGTTTGCAGCTTGAACATAAAGCAGGAGCCTGAAATGTCTTCCGAACACAAATGAGAAAAACTCAACAGTTTTGTTTAAATCAGCAAACAGCATTTTCCAAAGGAAAACATTTCTGCTAACAGTTTTTTCTTTAATCAACAGAGCAGCATTTAACATTTTCAAAACATTTTCAAGCAGTCAGCCCTCTCTAGAAGTTAAATAACTGGTATCCCCAGTTTTACAGTTGTGGAAACGGAGGAACAGTCATCAAACAGCAAGGCTTGGGCTTTTCCAGAGTCTGAACATTAGACTCATTCTTCCTTCTCTGTAGTTGGGCGCCTATTGAAGATAGTGCTGATCCACTGGAGAAGCTCACCTAGTCTATGGAGCATTTCTATAAAGAATCTGTTCCAGTGTCTGCACAGCTTAGGGCATGTTAGAAACAAGTCTCCATCCTTAAGACAAAAAGTTTCATTTCAGTAAAAGAAGTGTTGGAATGCGGGGAATGCTGTACATCAGAAGAACGCAAGAGAGGTCCTGGGTGAGGACATTTTTCTTCAGCTTGAGTTGCAGTGTATGAAAGCCATGATTCTTTTTGATGTTTCTT